GCTGTGTAGGGCACCAGGAAATTTCGCCCCAAATTTCCTGGTGCCCTACACAGCTGCGTAGTTTGTGTATGGGTAAGGACAGCCCTGTTGACCATGTATGCAGACACCAAGCATGTTTAGAACCAGCCACATTACTGAATGGTTACAATCTTGCTTGTAAAAGTTCAAGAGAGAACAGAGACATAGAGAAGTCTCAGCGTCTGGTGCTGTCTCAGTCAAAGCAAACTACTGTGCACTCCTTCCACAGAGCACTAAGACCAGACAGAAGCCAGATATACACACTCAGTACCCAATTCACTGTTGCCCAGCATTTTGCATAGGCATTTACACAGGTGTGAAGTGGGTTCAAATACCACCAAATCAGAATAGTAGTATTATACACCCACTTTGCAGTCATATAAGCAAATACACAAGGTGCAGGGAAACAATGAATTGAACCCCTACCCCATCCCACTCCTATACTGCATTATCAACAAGCCAATTTACTTATCATACCTTCTTGCTTACTTTTTGCCTTGCAAGATATGATGACTGGGAGGGAAATCCATTTAATTTCGGTTTGTATCGAGTGTCACTTTCAGGCTCAAGTGCTGTAATGTTTGGATTTTAAACATTTAGGCTTGGGAATGTTTGTTTTAAAAATACAACCATTTTGACTGGCCCTTTAATTTGGGGCCAAATTTAATTACGCCTTTTTAACATCAAAACCAATGATGCAAACAAACCACCATATTCAAAAAAGAATAGCGTCTAGAGCAGTGGTTCTCAAACTATTGTACTGGTGACCCCTCTCACACAGCAAGCCTCTGAGTGCAACCCCCCTTATAAATTAAAACACTTTTTATTAATATATTTAACATCATTATAAATGCAAGAGGCAAATCAGGGTTTGGGGTGGAGGCTGACAGCTCGCGACTTCCCATGTAATAACCTCATGACCCCATGAGGGGTCCTAACCCTCAGTTTGAGAACCCCTGGTCTAGAGCAACATATCAAACCCTAAAAAGACAGATGCCAAAAGAAACAAAAAGTTCTCAAACTGAACACCAAAAAAAAGAAAAACACATAACAAGCTAGATGCTATAGACTAACTAATACAGGGAAACTTCACCCTAGCAGACTATCTTGCCCCTGTGATGTTTGTAAATACAAGCAAGCTTCTACCAAATACAAAATCAGTGCTCAAACTGGAAAGCGAAACTAGGAGGTAGAAGACAAACCAGAAAGCCAAGGAGGGACAACTTCATAATCAGTGGTCTTCTACAGAAATAAAGTACAAGCCAGGGCCGGCTCTAGGATTTTTGCCACCCGAAGCAAAAACAATTTTGGCCGCGCCCCCCTCCCTCCATTTTTTTCTTTCCCCACCCCCGGCCCCACCTCAACTCCGCCCCTTCCCCAAATCCCCAGCCCTGCCTCCTCCCCCCAGGCTCTCAAGCCTAGGAGGGAGGGAGGGGGAGAAGCAGCGCGCGTGCCGCGGCCACTCAGAGTCTCCCCCTCTCTCCCTGGCTCTCAAACCTGGGAAGGAGGGTGAGCAGCGGCACGTGAATCAGCTGTTTCGCACGCCACAGCGGCTCAGAATCTCCCCCTCCCTTCCAGGCTTGAGAGCCTGGGAGGGAGGGCGAGCAGCGGCGCGCAAATCAGCTGTTTCGCGCGCCGCGGCTGCTCGGGATCTCGCCCTCCCTTCCAGGTTTGAGAACCTGGGAGGGAGGGGAGCACCGGTGCGCTAGGCCGGGGCACATTTTTAGGGGCGGCATTCTGGCACCAGCCATGCCGCCCCTAAAAATGTGCCGCCCCAAGCACCAGCTTGTTTTGCTGGTGCCTAGAGCCGGCCCTGGTACAAGAAACACTTCCCCAGGCTACCAGAAATAGCCTGAGAGTCCAACTAAAAACAAAGGAAATAAAACTGGAAAACCTTGGGTAACAGATGGGGACAAGACACAGGGCTGTAACCAGGGCGGGGTAAGCGGGGCAAATGCCCAGAGTGCAAGGCCACAGGGGCAGAAAAATGAGGCAGCGTGGGGGGCAGGGCATGTGGGGTCACATGCCCCACAGATTTCTGTCTTCCATTTAGCACAGAGGTTTTCTGGAGCCAGGGCAGTGGTGAGCAAGCTCCTTGGGGAAGCATTTTATGGCAGTTGGACTCAGCAGGCAGAAGCCAGCTCCAGGGGGCATCACCAGGCGGCACCAGGCTCCTTTGAGGGAGAGGCAAGAGCGTGTCAGGAGCACAGCTAAGAGCTGTGCAACCCACCCTAGAGCTGTGCAACCCACCCTGCCTGGGAGCACCCAGCTGTGCAGAGGTGGCCTGGCTCAGGTAGCAGGGCAGGGCAGGGAAGGCTGCCGGGCAACCAGCGAGGGCCCTGGCTTCCACAGCCTGGAAAACCACGGGCCCGAGTGGCTCCCACCAGCTTCCGATCTGCCAGCTACTGGTGGGGGCCATGCCCCAAGTTTGAAACCCTTGAAATCTGGGGGAGGAGGGAGCACATGACCCCTCTCCCCGATGCATCCCCTGTAGTGCTTGCTTGCCCCAGGCACTAAAATGCCTAGTTACAGTACTGGCAAGACAGACTCGTGGGATGAGCCTCATGCAGAATCAGAAAAAGGCCAAGAACTCGAAGAGAAAACCCAGAGAAGCCACGCTACTCCGGAACCTGCCCTCGACACAGAAGCCAGATGTACTGTAGTATCTTGGCAATGCTGGCCAATTTGCCGTGCCAAGTGAATTGTCAGCCTGATCTCATTTGGGGTGGGGGAGGTCTCAGACTCTCCTCCTCACCCCTGTTGGCATCACTAGGCATAGCAACCAGGTAACTCGGGGGATGGGGGGTGGAAGGCCATAAGTGCTGATGAAACCCCCCTGCTCTGGGTCTAACTGAGCCACAGTAACTCCATCTTGTGAACTTTAACCAGCCTCAATGCTAACCAGCCTAAAAGCAGAATATGTAACAGTCAGCTTTTTTTAGCAGACAGCTGCAGTTTCGCTCACACTAGCAGAAGCAGTAGTGATAAGGAGGGGGAAAGAAGGAGGGGGAAGTCTACTACGTAGAGCTTGCAAGGCCAAAGATAAACATGCGGACGAGAACTTTTCTAACACACCACAATGTAATGCCTGCTGTAACTGCTGTTGGGAAGGGAGGGGTAAAGGGGGAAACAGAACAAAGGCTTGCACACAAACAGCTTGGAATATAAAATGGGAAACTTGCTTGTATTTGCTGCGCTTCTGATTTGAGACATGCTGGTCTCCTGAGTGCCTTCCGAGATCTCGAATAAATTTGGTTTGCTTCTCCACCCTGGTGCGTCTATTGGTGCGACGCACACCGGGCAACGAACCCTGTTGCCCCCTCTGGGCCAGCAATACCCCCTTCCTCTTTTCTGGGACCCAGCAACCAGGGCCGGATTTCCAATTAGGCACAGTGGGCACCAGCATTGTAGGGGCACCTTCCCTCTCTAAAACTGTGTGCACCACCAAGGTCAGCTGGGGGGCAGTGCAGAGGATGCTGTGCCTAGGGGCGCATAAGGTGTAAATCCAGCCCTGCCAGCAACATGTCTTCCTGGGGCCTCTTCAGGGACCTGGGGACCCAGATCACTCGCTTTTGCCTTGCCCTGTCTTCGGGGACGTGGGAAGGGGGTTGGTCACTGGCCCGTCGGCGCTCCGGGGAGGGGGGTTGATCTGTCTCTCCTTGGCCCCTTTGAGGCCCCGGTGTCTCTTTCTCACTGGCCGGGTGTCTAGCTCTCTCCCTCCCCCGGCGCGGGCTGTGCGCGTCCCTCGCTGCCCCAGGTGGGCGTGATGAGCCTCCCGGGGCCGCAGCCTCGCTGGGGCGCGGGTTTCGCGCCCGCTGCAGCGGCCGGCGGGACATTAACGCGGCGCCCCGCGGCCCCAGCACACCCCCGCTGGCTGGCGCGGAGAAGCCCGCCCAGAGGATGGAGGGGGCGGGGGAGCGGGAGCAGGAGCTCCGGGGCTCAGGTAAGCTTAATGGCTCCGGGGGAGGCGCCCGGCAATGGCCCTAATGAGCGCAGCCCCCGCGGGCACTAACAAGCCCATAACCTGCCCCGCTGCGCGCCATCCCCTCGCTCCACATAACGCCCCCTCCTGCACTGCCCTGCAGCGCTCCCTGGGGATACCGCCCAGCCCCCAGGCCGGGGTGCAGCCACTGCTGGGGGGCGGGGGGGTAGAGCAATCCCAGGGGCAGGGCAGAGTTACCCCCAGGGGCTGATCAGGGCTGGGCGGCTGGGAACAAGGGAGGGGACGAGTAATTGCTCATTAGCTGTAGTTCCACCCCTGCAATTGCCAAGGGCCCCAAGGCAGTGGCTGGCTGCAGCTCTCTGCTAAGCATCAGCTCTCAGCTCTGGCTTCCTGGGATCAGCCCCTGGGTGGCAGCGCTTTGGGGGGAGCTGGTGGACCCTGTGCATCACCAGCCAGCATTGGTGCTGCCTGGCTGACCTGGAAGGGTTGCTCATAACAGTGAAGTAAAAGACCCGCAGGGGGGGAAAGAAATGCTGAACAGACATTTTGGGGATGGTTTACAAATTAAGGGCCCAGTTGGGCACTCTGTGAAGTCCACCGGAGCTCTGCCATTGACTTTGAGGGGCACAGTGTCTGGCCTTCACCGGTTACTAAATGCCACTAAACTAAAGCCCAGATCCACAAAGGCATTTAGGCTCTGAACGTCCATTGATTTTAGAACCCTACATACTTTTATAGATCTGGGCCTAAATGTCTCAGTGTGTATTGGCATCTTAAGGCTTGTAGAAATGACTGGCTGGTGAACCTGCAGCAATAAAGGCTTGTGACTGTAAGGCATAAAACATATTACCCTTTCTCTTGGATTTCTAAAGGGACTGTTTTGCCTCTGTCCATGTGCTCCTGACCCCTTTGCTTTCCTTTTTCCTTTCTCAACCTGGTTGGCTAGGTCCCTACAGCCCTGATTCTGGCTGTTTGCCAGCCCTGTCTAAGCTGTGCAGTCAGGTTATTTGACACCTTAGAAAACTCCCATACCTTTATGCTTGTGGGGAGGCGCTGGGAGCACCTGGCAGAAGGTGAAGCAAAAGAATGCAACACTCCTCATCCAAGGATCTTTGGTTAACCAGCTATTTGAAGTTCTATTGCTAGAACAATCCCCTGTCCATCAAAATTTCTTCCAGTTATGGCTCTTCCTCTAGAAGTGGACCAATGCTATGTTCCATCTGGTCTGTCCTAACCATTCCCTGTCTCCCTTCCCTGACAGCAGCAGAAACCAATGGGGACTGTTCAGCTCCCTGGGTACCATAAGGGTCCATCTTTCTCCCAAACCCCTATTGTCAATATGGGTCTCTTGTTTAGATCTACCATCTGTGAAGTACAGGGCTCCAGGCCCTTATAATTTTGGGGGAAAGAGCTGGTGATTACCCTTCTCATGATGCTCCTGGAAGTGAGACCTCTGCAGAAGGCAGAGCTTTCTCAGTGAAACATCTTGCCTCTTCCCATAAGCTTTCCTATGCAGGGACTGCCTTCTCCTAGCATTACGGTGTGTGTTTGCTTTGTAGTGTGTGAGGAGGAGGAGCAAGAACAAGGAGGGGAGGTGTCACCGCTGAGCACTAAGCACTTCATTGAGGATGTGGCGCATGGCCCAGGGAACAGCTTGCTATCTACTTTCCACACCGTGATTGTAAAAGATGAGTCTGGGAGTATCCTTGAAACAGGAGGTGGTGCTGATCCCTTAAAGGAAGAGGAAGAAGATGGAAACTACTGCATGGTGCAGGTGGGAGGGTCACCCAACCTGCACCCACCCGCCCTAGACTGCCAGCCTGGGAGCATCCTGGAAACAAGAGATGGTGCTGACCCTGTAAAGGAGGAAGATGGAGATGGAAACTATTGCATGGTGCATGTGTCTGGGTCACCCACCCCACACCCATCAGCTCTGGACTGCCAGCTCAACTATGCCACAATGTGTGGGTCACTGCCAGCTTTCTTTGGCAACATGAACTCTGTGCCCCAAGTCCCCGAAGCTGAGTTTACCCAGGAGATCCCAGATCAGTCACAGGAAAGAGCTGAGGGGTATTACCCTGATAGCACAGAAAAGGAGACCAAGAAACAAAAAATCAGTGGCAGTAGTGGAATGTGCTCCCCAAAGACATCCAGTGTTGCTCCCGGGGACTTTTACAGCCTGGCACAGCTCCAGGATGTGAATCTGAATCTTGGCCATGCTACCCGCAGATCAGCCCGGTGTGCAGCTGCCAGCACTGCAAGTCGGCAGTCCTACAGGGTGTCATCATTCCAGGAATCTGGAGGGGGTCAGGATGTGGCCAAGGAGAAAAAAATGCCACTAGAGAACCCAGAAGAGCAGGGAGCTCTGCCACCTGTCCGAAAGAAAACACGCACCTTCTACAGTGCAGGTAGGAATTGGAAGATACTGAAAGCCACCTGGCAGATAATGGTATCTGTAGAGTAGGGTACAGTGTTACTGAGGGCATATTGAATAGTATTGGCCTGCAACGAGGAAACACTGGACAGCAGTGGCTGCTAGTGTTTGTACAGTCAGCTCTCCATTGTTAAATGCTCAGGAACATCTCCAATTGAATTAACCTGGAAGGTTGCTAAGTGTATTGGACATACAATATCATTAGCAATGCACTTGGTTCTGGTGTGGAAGAAGATTTTTGTTTAATGTGGTAATATATTTCTATTTTGAAGATGCCTTTTTATACCTTTATTTATTTATCGAGTATTTTGAAAATCAAGTTTCTCTCTCTCTCCCCCCCCCCTTGGTTTCTTTCTTTCACTCTCATGTCACACACACTCTCCTGCTCTCTGCTTCATTTTTCTCTTCCTCTTTCTCTCTTTCAACAATGCCTCCTTTCCAGAGCAGCTAGAGGAATTGGAGAGAATGTTCCAGGAAGACCATTATCCTGACAATGAAAAGAGGCGGGAGATCGCTGCTGCTGTTGGTGTAACACCACAGCGCATCATGGTGAGTCCCTCATGGTTAATGGGCACTGCATCAGAAGAACAAGAGAAAAGGAGAAAGAGAGCCAGGAGGTATGTAGGGAGAGGAGAGGAGTTCATTTGGAAAGGGAGAGAGACTGCCACTGCCAGTGATGTAAGGGGCAGGAAGGTAACTCACAGGGAGGGACAGTGACACAAGAAAATGGCAAGGGAGCCTCTGTTGACTTCTCCCTCTCTCTTCCTGACCCTTACTGTGAGGGATGCAGATGACAGTGGGCTCCTTGCTCAGCCTTCTTGTCTTTCTCTTGGGGCTGCTTGAAGAGGAATGGGGGTAAATGGGACTTGGGGGTGATCTTCCTGCTGACATGTCTCCCTTTCCTGAGGGCATTCAGGAGGAGACAGGAGGTTGGGGAGGCTTTCTATAGATTTATCTCTCTCTCTCTCTCACTCTCACTCTCTCTCCTGGGATGGGCCATCTGGACACTTGCAGGGGATGAGGTGCAGGGGAGAGGCTTCTTGCTGATTTCTGTTTCTCAGGGTAGACTGTGGGCATGATCTCTGTTGATTTCTGTCTCTGTCCCAAAGGTCTTAAGAAGAAGGGATGCAGATGGTCTCCTCACTGAGTGTTTCTTTCTCTCCATTTATCAGGTCTGGTTTCAGAATCGCAGAGCAAAGTGGCGAAAATTGGAGAAACTGACTGTGAAAGGGAGCAAGAAATGCCCAGCATCAACAACTCTGTCAGTTCCTTCAGGAGCAAGCACTTATGGGTGAGGGACCTGCCCCCTCTCTTTTCTCTTTGTTACCAAGCACTTAAGAGTGAGAGTTCTTACCCTCTCCCCTGCCCCATTTCATTGGAACCAGGAACCTTATGGGTAGCTGCAGCTTCTGCATCATGCCAGCTGGTGAGAGACTTGTGAACCTCTCCCGTTTCAAAACCTGACTTGGATTTGTAATGGAGTTTAATGGATAATGCCCTAAGAGTTTGATTTATTAGCCCGTGAGATAGTCTTCAAAGGAAAGTGGTGGAATCTCCATTGCTTACAATGTGCAGGGAGGAGGGGATGAGATAAAAGAGTGATCTAGTAGATTTTTTCCATCCTCAACTTCTGTGAGTATGTTGGCCAAAGTCCCTCATGCACCTTATTCCCCTCATAGTTTAAGTGCTGCTGGGCCCACAGGGGGATATTTTCCCTCTTTTCCCTCACCCACTCATGTTTTCCTCACAGAAAATGGGGTTCATTGGAGAAATGGAAGTTGGAGTCCTTAGGGGAAAGGGGTTTATGTGTGGGGGCAAAGTGGGAGTATGCAAAGACTTTCCAGGGGGAGGAGGATCCTCCAAGAGAGTGGGTGGAAGGAAAGATCTTTCAGAGGCAGAGGCAGATAGAAGTTAAGGTCTTGCAGAATGAGGAGGATAATAGGAATTTGGAGTGAGAGTTTCCTGAGGAAAGAAAGGGAAGGGTTAGAAGAGTGGGTATTTCCAGGTCAGGGCTCATCTCACTCTGCCCTCTGTTCCTTCGTTCCCTGCTCATATCTTTTACTTCTTCCTCCAGGCCATCTCTCCTGCCTATGCCTCCACTGCCTGACATCATTCATGACCAATCTGCCATGCTCAACATGGATACCACAGTTGGGAACTATCCCAGCATGCTCAGTGGGCATCCTGCGCCGCTCGTCTCCTCATCAGGTGAAAGCCATTCATGGTTGTATCTCAGTAAGAATTTGTGTTTCTGTCTGGCATTGCTTGGTGGTGTTCTTGCTGCCTCCAGGATTCTGATCACAGCCTAAGGAGAGTCACACAGGTCTCCACACCAAGCAGAAACTGTTAAATGGATTTAACACATCCCTGCACATGCCCTCTAATGGGATTACCCACTATGTTGTGCGGCTTCTCAGCATTGAGAATGGGGTCAATGTCTGAAATCATTACTAATTCCTTACACAGGTCTGACACCTGTAAGGCCAGACATGATCAGCCTCCCTTCCTTTAATCCCAGTTTGCTAGATGCTGGCACCATTAGTGGTGTTTCCCTGACTGATCATGTAGAGTTTGTTCTGGTTGTTTATGCTCCTGTGGCAGGTGTACACCCTACATATAGGTTTAAACTCTAGCTTTTCAGCTACAGCCCAGCCCGCAGTAGAGGAGAGTGTGTGAGGAAGTGAGTCACGTTAACAGCAGCTTTTGTAGCTGAATGTGAGCCAGGCTCCATGCTGAGTGCCCAGGGAGCATAGGCCAGAACAGCTCCTTCTAGACTATTTTACATATTGCTTTCTTGACCAGAATAGGGACAGAGCCACAGTCTTGCCATTGTTCTACCCCATCCATACCTTCATGTCCCCTGGAAAGTTACTACTACTACTGTTGGTCTCAGACTTCACTGGGGCCTGACTTTGTGCAGTCAATGTGCACTGACAGCCCGAGGACCAGAATTTTGCTTGGTCCAGAGGGGCAGAAGTTGGATGAGGGTGAAGGTTCTTATTCAATTTCTGTTACAATAACACTGGAAGTCAATAGGGTGTGCTCTTGGACCAGTTTTCTACCTGAGCTGCAGCTAGTCTTCGGAGAATCATAGAAAGCAGAGAGAAAAGATTTGTTAAATTGAATATTTCATGCCTTCGGAGCCAGTACATCTTATGGAGTCAAGATTTTTCCCTAGGGTACATTTCCCAGTATTTACTTCAGATGACATTTTCACCACTTTTCTAGGGAGAGTAATCCATACTAATAGATCTGATTAGCAAGTGTTTTCCTGATATTTAGCCTAAATTATCCCTTTCATTAATTTCATATGCTTAGTTATAACCCATTGTACCATGCTAAATGCAGTGACACCAATATTAAGGGAATGACTGAGAGATCAACAAAAAATGGGTGCTCTGTGGAAATGGTTTTCTAATGAATTTGGAGCATAACTGAACCCAGACAGCTAAAAAAAGGTAGATTATTAAAGATTAAATAGTATTTATTCAGTACCAAAATATTTGATGATGCATAAGACCTCAATAAAAATGCATTTATAAGTTTACTTAATTTTCATAAACAGGCACATAAGCTAAGAATAAAGTACTAAAATAAAACACATTACCAATACTATAATATAGTAAATTAAATTAAATTAAATTAATTTAATTTACTATATTATAGTACTTCACTTCTGTCATCTAAATCTGTCTGTGAGAAGTAGTCCAGAAGCTAAGACTGTTTATGAATAGATTCTGAGTTTTTTAACCAACATGTTTTTAATTATATTAGTTGATTCCAATATTTGCACATTTTGTTGCAGCAGTACAAACATTGTCAAGGCATTTGAATAATACATTGCTTCTCAGAATGATGCTGTGACACAATTGATGAATCCTGCAATTGGTTAAATAAGCTCAAAGTCCAGGATGTTGCAAAAATGGCCATTTGTTGAAAGAAAACAATCAAACATAATATTCAGCTATACCTATAATTGTCTATGGATGAACTACAGGATCCATAGGGGTTTCACAGACACACCATGCTTTCAGGAGAGGAAACCTCCACTATAGTGTCTGAACTGAGCCCAACCATTTCCCCAACCCACCTTCCATCCAACTGTAGCCAAGTTATCTAGCCTTCTTGAGTGCTTTTCCTCTCAGAAATCTGTACACGTGGACACACTCCCTTTCCCAAGTATAGATTTCCCTCAGAAAGTGAAATAGTCACAAAATAACTTAAAATATACAAGGGCCTACCAAAATTCTTCACATTCTGTGTGGGGAAAAAGGAAGGGGGAATTCCTGCCCAATCACTCATTGGTGTTCCATTCTCAGAGATCCTAAAACCAAAGAACAAATACAACTCCCTGCCTGAAACTGAGGGCTCTGGAATTTGCTGTCTACTATCACCATTGCATCTACATTGAGCTGTCATCAAATCAGGCCTTCAGTGACACCTGTGCACGCTCCACTGAAGTCACTGGGCTTACACATGTAATGATTGGAACACAGTAACTATTTAGTTGCTTTATGTACAAGCTGAAACAGACTCCAGTGTCCTCTCTCTGACCCATGTTAGTCCTGCAGGCTCACAGGAGCAAAAAGCAGTGAAAACCTATTTTTGTCCACTAAAGGCAGCAGATATTACACCCAGGAAACAGATCTGTTCAGGAAGAAGATGCCATTTTTCACAATGACTCTCTTCAGAAAAGAACCACACTTATATATATAAACTGTGCAGTGTTTTTAAATAAAGCATCAACAGGGCTGACTCTTTGGTGAATGAGAATAGAAAACAAGTTGAAAGAAAAATAAATCATCTGCTTTTTACATCAGCATTTTTTTCTAAGAAAACAACTTGCCAACAAAATTGGATCAAGTTAAAACTGTGGAGTCACCACTTGGCGTCATTAGAAGATTTAAAGAAATGGTGGAGGAGATAAATAGAAACTTGAGTAGGATGGAATCCAGAATAACGGAACTGAATGAAAAGATTGAACAAATGAGTGACAAAGTCAATCAATAACAAGGCAAAAGTGATTTCCAAAGTATAGGCTCTGTGAAAACAACACAGAGAAAGAAAATAAACATGTTGTTATCTCAGTAAGTGGCAGGCTCCAGCAAAAGTAACTACCAACTTGAGCCATTAGAGAATCCAATCTGGACATATAATATTTGCCTTTCTGATATGGAGGAAGGGTTAGATACATATATAATTGTGTGCCTAATTATTGTGATTATGTGAGCAAAATAGGTACTTGCTTGTGCAAGTAATTGATCATTGGTGTGTGTGTGTAAATGCCTGACTGTGGCAATTCCATAAGCGAATTAGGCATATGAAATTGCAACACATGGTTTTGCACATGGCCCTAGGCTTCTGGTGGTTTGACTATCAGGCTTTTGCTGTGGTGGCCACCAGAGAAAGAGATTAAAAGTTCAAATCCGCATATTTTCTCCACACCGTATAAATAACATTATGTTTGGAGCCTTTTCCAAGCTGGCTGTGGGTAACACCCTTTCCTCGCAATGTTCTGGAATCTGTTTCTGATAGCACTGATAAGCAGCATGTTGGCCTGTTCAAGGTTGTCAGTAACGTTTGGAGCAAGAATTTCTGTTCCAGAAAACTCTATGTTTAGTAGCATACAGTTTGTGTAAGTGAACATTCTGAGCCAGCCGGAGTGATACCAACAGGTATGTTTCCTGTAGCTCAGCCCCAAGAGGCTTGTGCTAGACAGAACTAAGTGCAATAGTGCTTCTGTTTACTATCTCTATCGTTCTATCTTTCTCTTTTTCACTCCCAACATCTTCTCCATCCCCTTGCACTCTTTATCCCACACGTCTGCCTTGCCATGCTCACTGCTCTGATTCCCCCAGCTCTGTCACTCCCTTTGCTTTCTCCATTTGACCTGTGTATGACACAAGCTCTTGCTTTTTCCTTCACAGTCTCTTCGGTAACTGGAGTGGTGACGTGTTGTGAGGCAGGTCAGACAAAGGCACTATCCCAGGGCAGCTTCGGTTCCAGCAGGATGGAGTGCTTCCCCACAATTCCCAGCCCTCCACCCATTCGTAGGGCCAGCCTCCCTCTCAATATGACCTTCAACCCAAACAATCATATTGTTCCGTTGATGCTGGACACTCCCAACAGTGAATGTAGCCCATCCAGTCAGGAAAGCAGCTCCAGGGAAGTCCTCACTTACAGCTTCCAGAGTCAAGGGTATGGGCAATGAGACATTCTTCACGAGAGAGACGGGGAAAGCAAACTTTAGAGGGGTTGGGCGGGAACTGAGAGGGACTGGAGAATGCTAGAGGACAGAGAGCTAGGATTAGGGGTGTTCATGCAAAGGGGGGATGCTAAGAGGAGAGGGAAGGGAAAGGGGATCCAGATGAGATTATCTGTGTGCATGGTGAGAGGGGGGCCTAAGAATAAGGAAAGGAAGATCTCTTAAGAGAATGCAGTTGGGATTAAGATGTGTGTGAGAGAGGGGGGATCTGAAGTGCAGAGAGTGGGAATCCTTCGGGGAGGATACAGTGGGGATTGGAGTGTGCATGGAGAGTGGGTAACTTGAGTATAAAGATGCCATCCCATTGCCTCAACTTCACCTCTGCTGGCATATTTTCATCTTCTCTTGCCTTTGCCCTGTGCCTGGGTGTTGGGGAGCCAGAATAGGTGTCAGTTGGGAGCCAGGGGAGGGTTTAACAATTGTTTTCAGCACATGTTGCTTTAATGTTTCCTCCCCTCCCAACCTGTGAACTGTTTCTCTCCTTGCACTCCACAGTATCAGCTCACCAACCTCATGCAATTACCCTGAACAGCTGGAGCCCACAGCCAACCTAGAGACCCCATATTATCACTACAGTAACCAGCCTGGAACCTACCAGCTGCCCCAGTACCCCCTGCAGCACCAGCTCTCCCAGTTCCACCACCTTCCAGTCCCCCTTGCTGGCAATGTGCTGCCCAGTGTCCGCCTCACACCTACTACACCCAGCGAATCCAATCCAGCTTTCTTCACCTTGGCTGGCAATAGTGGGGTTATGACCTATGGAGCAGCAGGTGCCTCACGAGGGTATTTACAGCACCACATGGGACAGATCCTGTTACAGCAGCCTGCTGGGAGCTCAGGTGAGTATCCCCAAATCTATCGGGATCCCATTCACCCCAACCCTCTGGGGTTACTAATTGGTTTAATGAAGGGCCAAAATGTGTAGCAATTTGACTACAACCATGAAAGGGAAAAGAAGGAAGAGAAACATGTATATAGAAAGTGACACTATAGCTCCCTACCTCCTTAACTGCCGACTCTCTCTTTCTGAATTCACTGAATGATTATTAAGTTTGGTCCAAATATTGTGAGCTCTTGGGACACATATCTTGGAGTGTACTGTACCTTTAAAAAATACAATGTTTGAAATAGATGGCTAGAGATAGATTGGTATCTAGATGCCACAGTGGCATAGAGTTAGGGTAGACACATCAAGGAAAACAGGCTCCTAATCCTGTCAGGACCCTTCTGAAGCCATCTTAAAAGTATGTATATGGTTTGGGGGCACAGGGAATGAGGTGCTTAGAGGTAGAACTGTCTGGTGGATAGCGCATGGAAAAAGGAGTCAGGACTGTTTTTCCCCCTGGCTTTGATACTGACTTGATTTATGACCCTGGTTAAATTACTTCAAGTAATTGTTCTCTGAAATGTAACTATGTACAAATGGCATCTTTGGGCTCCATGTTTAGTTTGTCCCAATTATTTCCATATCGTGATCAGTTTACAAGTAAAACCAGATGTTTCTTTTTCAAATGGCCAACCTTGCAAACTCAGCCTGAGATCTCAGGACTAGGTTGGGTTCTTACCATCCCAGGCATCATCACAAATAATAAAGGTTCTTCAGGCTAAATACTGCCCTTAGTCACATCAGCACAATCCCATTGCCTTCAGTGGGTTTGCACAGTTGTAAATGATGGGAACCTAAGCCCTGACCATGAAAATATTTATACCCATGTTTAACTTTAAGCAAGTGAACAGTCCAGTTGAATTCACATGCATAAAGTGAAGTATGTGCATAGGTGTTTGCAGAATTAGGACCATTTCTGTTGATGGTGCACAACAGGGAACAGAAGCCAAACACCGTCTGTCCAAGCTGAGTTGGCTCTGCAGGGCAAACAGGAGTGCGAACAGTAAAAACCTATTTTTGTCACTTAAGTCACTGAATACGTTGGAGGAACAGACCTCTTGGATGAGAGAGTGCCATTTTTACATAGCCACTCTTCAGATTAGAATCACATTTTAATCATTCTGCCCCTCAGTTTTGCCCTCCTGTAAAGTGTGCACTGCATAAGAACACTTATTATGCTGCAAACCACAAAGTTAACCTTTCTCTTATTGCAATACATTGCTATGTATTCCTGTAATGTTGTTTTGCATTGAACACACCTTACTGTGGTCCCAGAAATGCTGCATTTTTAGTTTGGACTCTATCTCTCTTACTCAGTTTTTACAGGTAAATCACTTCGAAATCCTCTGAGGAAAGGTGGTATCTAAGTAAAGTATATTATCCTGCTTTCCTTGTCTCTGTCTGTCCCTTCCAACTTCTCTGCTTTTTTTCCAGGTGGTATCGCTGCCTACCAGGCTGTCCCTTGGAATGAATTCTACATGCAGGGACGTCCATTCTCCAATCAGCTTTGCTCTCGAATGCAGTTTTCCAGTACTGCAGCAGGACATTACTCCACAGAGCAGGTTCCCTACACTCAGAACCCTAGTATAATGCAGCCCACTCCCTGTTTCCTCCAGTTGCCCAAAGGGGCAACATCAGGATCTGTGGTATTTACTGAAAAACAAAGGGCAGTGCCAGCACCAGACCAGACTTCATATCAGAACCACCAATTGCAGATCGCACCAGCTGAAAGAGAGGACCCAGAGAGCAGCAGCAGCATCACCAAGGAGGAGGAAAGTGCTGCTGGTAATTGAAAGGCCCCCTGGGCTTTGCGGTGGGGAAGAGGGGATGAGGAAGGCATTTCTGAGACTGGCAGATCCCTCTGGATAGACATCTGAGACCAGAGCTGGGGGGTAATTGGGATGGATGGCCACTCCTGGGTTGCTGTCTCAGAAAGGTCTCTGGAGGCAAGGGGAAATTACACCTTGTGTGGAATCTGTGATTGTTCCTGTGGCCGGGAATATGGGGCAGCTGCTCCTGGGTGATCTCCTAGATGGAAAGTGATGCGAATTTGGTCTCAGGGTATTTAAAGATCAGTCCTGTGTCTCTATTGGCATCCCCTTCTTGGTATTCTCCTGACTGGGGTTCTGAAATTGGGTCTGTGGAGGAGTGGTGAAGCTTTGTGTCCCACAGACAAGCTTCTCGGATTGGTCTGTTCTCTGAAGATGGTATGTGACTGCAGTTGGGTGAGAGTCCAGATGGGATTCAGAGGAAGATCAGTCTGAGAGAGTGCAAGGGTGAATCCTCTATATGACATCTGTCCTACTGGGGTGGTCTGGGCAGCCACGCTCGGCTGATTACTTCAAAGATGCCTTCCACGAATAGATCCACATTTCCTCTTGGGAGAGCTGATTAAGAGAACAAGTTTGCAAAACTATTATTTTTTAAATTTTACTGTTTAAACATTTTTAAATTTTAAAAAAGTGAACTGACTTTATAATTGGTCAAAAATGTAGGGGGAAATATCATCAAACATTTTCTTAGGGTTTTTTTGTTTGTTTTTTGTTTTTTTCTATGGGGTTAATTTCTAATTTTGAAATGACAAAATTTTGAAATTTTAAAAAGTTTGAAACAGCTCTATCTCTGGGTGACTTTTCCACAGGGTGTTCTGAGATTGGTCTTTCTTATATATTTCTTCTTTCAGATGACAAAGAAGAGAATACAAATTGACTCTGCACTTTGAAAGAAGCAAGGAGTAAAGGATGTTATTATTACTATTGTTATTAAACACTGCACTATGAGAGAAACAGAGGAAAGAAGAATTAATATTATTTACAAAAGAAGTGCTTTTTTGTTTCTTTTGGGTTTTTTGTTGTTGCCATGATTGTTCTCCTGCTGAGGAAAGAAGCAGTGAAGTTTCAATCAATAAAAGCTTCTGGTCTGTGCTTTTTGCAAATCTCCTGACTTTTGAGTTTTACTAAGAAAGATGATCTTGGTTAGACTAAAGAAGGTAACAGGGATTCAGTGGACAGGGGTGGCTGGAAACCAGGATCCATTGGTTACAGATGGCGCAGAAACGAGAGTCCTTTGACTGGAGTAACCAAAGCTTAGGGAGTGATAGAAAGTGAGGAGAGGGCTCCATTGGGTACCCAGAATTCAGAAGATACTGAAGATGCTAGAAGATGACTCTAGAGTGGGTAAGTTTCTGGGGATACAGATGGGGTAAGGTGGGTTGCAGACCACATAGGAAGGGAGCCCCAGGGAGAAGCTAGTATAAACAGTGCAGATAGAGGAACTCCATGGTTTAACCCAATTTTCACAGAGTCAACAGAGCAAAAGGGAGGATGAGGAGCCTAGTGCTATCCTTATGGTGTTTATTTATATCAACATTTAAAATTTTTAGAAAAGAAACTAGTGTTGTAACCTGATGCCCCTCCATTCATAATTCATTTAGAACTCTCATGGTGTTAGTTTGATGTGGCTTTGAATGTCTGTTACTAAACCAAACTAATCAGGGTTAGCAATTAAGGATGGGGGAATTTAAATATGCCCATCTCTGCCTGCACACAATCCTTGAGTGTGACCCAGCAGTTCTTGAGGAAGAATAACTGTGATAAAAGGGGATACTGGAAGATGATGGGGAAAATCTAAACTGGTAGGTCTTGCCTTTACATCAATATGCTGTCAGGCTCTGGCTCAGTTTAGTCTCTGATAAAACATTCCACAGCCAGGGTCCTATTGCTGTCCTTGCTTTTCCCCTAGAACCTGTGAATCTTGTTCGGGAAATGTCTACCTGCATCATCCCTATGGAGTATAGTGGTTTTAGTGAGTTGCAGATTATTATCTTCTGAGATACCTGGCTAGGGTGGGGCAAAGCACTGTGCAAAATCAGACTAGGGCTTTGAATTCGGTCCTTAAATGGAAAAGGAGACAGTGGAGGTCATGGAGGTCTGATACAATGGGTTCAGTTATGCTTAATAATGAATGGGCAGCTGCATGCTATATGAGTTGTGGTTTCTATTTGAAGTTTTACCTTCAGCTGCAGATGTGTGCTGTAATCTAGCCTGCAGGTGACAAAGATGTGTATCACAGTACTAAGGTCCTTGTGAGAAAGGAGTGTGTTATCCTAACAAGCTGAAGATAGCAGAGGAGTGTTCTTTCCCACTGATACAATCTGTGTGTCCAGGAGTAACAAGGAGTTTGACCCTGAAGCTTTATATTAGACTGATTTTTTTCAATCAAGGGTGAGGCCCATGTTCTGTAAAGTGGCCTAATATATATGGTGAAAAGGCTGGATTACTATATTGAACCTTGTGGGACTTCACATTGTAACGGCTCTTGGTTAGAACTCTGTGGTCTCTCTGAAAGGAATGTTTGGCCCTTCTTCTATCGCCTATATATCGCTCATTATCTCTTTATGGATGATAGTACTGAAGGCTGCTGGAAGATCAAGCCATGTAATCAGGGATTCTATGTATTTCATGAATCTGCAGCAACAGAATTTACCAGCGTTCTACAGCAGACTCTTATGTATTCATTCTAAAGAGCAAAAATGTCTAGCCTCTCTGAGTGTGAAGAAAAAGAGAACCAAGTATAAACTAATGCAGTGGTCAGCAGACAGCCTAAATCAATAACTCTGGGAGATTGTGAATGATTGCTTTTCTCCATGTAGATGTTAACTCTGAAACCTAGTGATGACAATAACTGAAGTAATCTTTTTAGACCTGTGCTGTTTTTTGGATCCCGGTTGGACTGATGGATAGAGTTGTAGGACTAAGGCCTGCCAGAAAGATAAACAGAACCAACAACAGAAAACCGTGTCCTATCTGCCTCTACTCTAAAGAAAGTTAGTGATTTTGTATGGTAAACATTTTATTTGTTGTGTTTTGGATGTTATATGTTATTCTGGTATTACAAAGTCCTTGCACACGTAGCCTGTCACTGTGACATTCCTAATGAAACCGTGGTTTAGGGAATTAGACTCAGAAGACTTAATATGTGACCTTTCTCACAAAGTTTTGTCATTAAATTATGCAAGTCAGTTTCTAGAACAGAAAAAGGTGTTTGTTCAATATTTTGACCAAAATTTAGCTGTCCTCAAAATGATTTGGATGAAAGTCTATTGCATTTATTTTTATGTTCATATCCTAAATTAGCCAAGTTTCACTTGGTTGGGTATTTTCAGATTAAAAAAATTTCCACATACCTAATCACAAATAGGTGTGATGTTTGTGCATCTGGAGGAGAGTGTGTACCCTAAATAGTATGCAGAGGGCTCAATTCATCCCTAGTGCAGCTCCACTGACTTCCTTGGAGTTAAACTAAGGGTGGTCTAGCCTACTATGTATACAATATAACTTCACTGAGATCCTGAAATCCCATCAGTTTCCACTCTAATTCCATTTATCTACCTTCTCCAAGATTTGTTCTAAGACTTCACTAGACTAGAATTCAGTACATAAAATGTGGGGTTAACAGCATAGCACTGAAGTCATTTTCAAATAAAATGGTTTTACCAGCCTGGATTTATTTAATGGCAAATGTTATTGGTTTAAACTCCATGTGTTCTGCTTACAGACTTTCATCTAGGATACAGAAAGTCAAGCTGAATGCTTAGGGCTGGTCTACACGGGGGAAATCGATCCAAGATACGCAACTTCAGCTACGCGAATAGCGTAGCTGAAGTCGAAGTATCTTGGATCGAATTACCTGGGGTCCAGACGGCGCGGGATCGACAGCCGCAGCTCCCCCGTCAACTGCGCTACCACCGCTCGCTCTGGTGGAGTTCCGGAGTCGACGGTGAGCACGTTCGGGGATCGATATATCGTATCTTAACAAGATGCGATATATCGATCCTGGATAAATCGATTGCTACCCGCCGATACGGCGGGTAGTGAAGACGTACCCTCAGATGTGTTCACATCTGTTTAAGATGACAGGAGCATAGTCAGAATCCCTTATCTTACTGAAGGCCTGTGTTTCCTCAGCCAGTATCAGACATAGACAGGAATTGGCCTGCTTCTGTTTGATTAACATATCCTGTACTAAGCATGTTAAATAAAAAGTATTAATAAACAACTTTCCAAATGAGTCATGAGCTGCTTGCTATTTAGAAATGGAGCAAAATGGAAAAAATTTCATTTACAAATCAGGAGCAATTTTTTCCCTCTAATTAATGGAGTGATTCAGTAGGTGAAAAGCCAAATTCTGGGCTTATGTATTTGTTCAGGACTTGTGCACTATTGTAAATGAGAGCAGAAGTTGGTGCAGTATGTATCTCCACTCCCCTCCACTCCCCTCCCCACCGGCATAAAATAAATTACAGAATTTTGTTTTGTCAAATTCCCCATAGCAATGGACTGTTCAATTAAATATTACACTTACATACACCTCTACCTCGATATAACGCGACTCGATATAACACAAATTTGGATATAACACGGTAAAGCAGTGCTCCGGGTGGGCGGGGCTGCGCACTCCGGCGGATCAAAGCAAGTTCAATATAACACGGTTTCACCTATAACGCAGTAAGATTTTTTGGCTCCCGAGGACAGTATTAAATCGTAGGCATACATGTTCAAATACAACGTTTCTGTGACATACAGTAGAACCCTTGGTTTATGAACTAAGTGGGGATGGAGAAGTTCAGAACTTCATAAAATTGAACATCTCAAAATGACAGTGGGTACTGGGCATAAGTTGCAGTCTGGTGCAGTGTGTCGCTTTCTTCTTGTCCTTCAAACTGCTGCAAAGCAATTTCCACTGCATTGGAACGTGACAGGATGTCGACTTGTTCTTCATCAATGTCACTTTGATTATCTGATTATTTTTTTCTGTTGGGGAAAATGGTTCATACACATGGTCATTCATAAGATTGGTGTTCATAAAATTGAGGTTCTACTGTCTATTATTAATCTTCTTTGTGCACATCCAGTAGCTTAGTTAATAAGTGCATATTATTCCCTCCACACACATCATACTTCATATGCCTTCATCATAGAAAGAACGGAGCAGATAAACTTCTAAGAGTTAACACTTTTGGCTTAGTCAAGAAGAAAACACTGCTTTTCCAGGCTTCTTTAAGTTTCTAGTAAAGTAAATAGCATTAGAAAGGATAAACATTTACCCTCCATAGTAGTTAGATTTCCCATGGTATTTGCTGCGTCTCTCATTCTAAGTATAAGGAGTACCACCAATAGCATGGGAAACTCAGCTATTGCTGGATGGTAAATACTGATTTTTCTTCATATTGCCCACTGTATGTTTTATCTCATCTGGAGGGATTGTTGTGCAGCGTATTCGGGATACCATCAGGCAAACTACTACTGCAAACCCCGATGATCAGGCTACTGAGGCAATTATGAAGGGTATCTTTACCAGCTGTGCGGCCCCTGATATTAAAAGGAAATGCAGAAAAAGGAGGATTTGATGGGCATGACAATGGCACAGATTTTGGAAACTGCAAACAGGGCTTACAGCCTTAGGGAGGGAGAAAAGGAAAAGAGGCAAGTGAAAATGATGGTTGCAGCAGTACAGGCTGGTGGCAGGGGAAGATTTCAGGAAGGGGCCGGGGAATGAGAGGACGTGGGCGTGGGCGCCCTGGCTCACAGGAAAGGCGTCTGGGTCGCAACCAGTGTGTCATATGCCGAAAGGAGGGACATTGGAAAAATGAGTGCCCCGAAAGGGAAGGTACCCCTATGATGGCAGCAGAGGATCAAGAATAGGGGTGTCAGGGGAGACGGACTATCCTGCCCCCAGAACCCCGAGTAAAAATGCGGGTGGGAGATTCAGACATAGACTTTTTAATAGACTCTGGAGCTGCACGAACTGCTGTAAACCAACCCCTTCAGCTGCCTGTGGCAGATTTCCCTCACTGTGGTGGGAGCCACAGGGAAAGGAACTAAGTGCCCAGTATATGCCCCAGCGGAATGTGCTTTGGGAAACAGAACTCTATCTCACAGACTGGTTTACCTCTCCGATTGTCCAACGCCTCTATTAGGACAGGATCTGCTTTGTCGCTTAGGTGCCACCCTGCATTTCACTCAAGATGAAATAAGCCTCACCTTACCTCCAGAGAATGCCTGGATAATGACCCTTGCAATTGAGCCCTCAGCCATGCAAGCCCCAGAGTGGAGTCAGTGGGAGAAGCGGGTTTTTCCTCTGGTATGGGCATCAGGGATCCCAGGAAAGGCAGCCCATCATACTCCTATTACTGTTCAGCTCTTGCCAGGAAAAGGTCCAGTGTGAATTAAGCAGTATCTGATCAAAAGGGAAGCCAGAGAGGGATTGCAGGAAACTATAGACCAGTTCCTAAAGTGCGGGGCTCTTCGAGAATGCCAGTCAGCTTGGAACACTCCTATCTTGCCTGTACAAAAGCCCAATGGCACATACCGGCTGGTCCAGGACCTGAGGGCAGTTAATGAGCGGGT